AAAAAAAAAAAAAAACTTTTGCGAGACTATTTTGATCAACAACTCAACCCAATCCAACCTAATAATTAAAAATTATTTCTCTCCTCCACCTAAACAACCCAACCATACAACCCAATTCATCGTTATCCCCAATTCAACTCAACCCAACTTAACCTAAAATATTTATTTTATTTTTATTTATTTATCTATTAAATACTATCTAAAATTTAGACTGTAAAGTCATAATGATTTCGAAAAATTAGTATTTTATCATACAATTAAAAAATTTACCAACTCATTAAAAATTGAAATTACAACAATTAAAAAAAAATAGTTAAACAAGTTACAAAAATGTCGAATAAAATCACACATCAATTACTATTATTAAATAGAAAAATTACAATTGTATTATAAAACATATCAAATGTGGTCTCTATCTATACAAAATATAAAAATACAAATTTTGGTATTTTTTTTATTTTAAATATAAATTAACCTCTAATAATACAAATCATCTTTTATCATATCTATAGTAATATAAAGAGGTTGTTGGAAAAATACAAGAATAGTAAGGTTGACTATAAAAAATAATGCTTTGACTTACTATTATAAGTAATAACAAAAAATACACACGTAATAAATGGTATAAAATTTGGATAATTTGATAGGAAATTAACAAGCCATATTTTTTGGTAACTAATTTAATCCCTTTTCTATTTCCTAACTAAATCCGGATAATTTGATAGGATATTGACAAGCCATATTTTTTGGTAACTAATTTGATCATTTTCTATTTCCTAACTAAATTCATGTGAATCTCTTTGAATTTACAGATTTTTAGGTTGAAAATTGAAATCATTGATATCCCATAAACTTTGGAAAGGATTTGAATTTAAAATATGTGAGAATTAAACATAATCCACATATTAAAAACATATTTTGGTAAATCTACATATTTGATTATTCAAAAATTAAAAAATGTGAGATTTGAACATGAATAATCAAATGTAGTTACCAAAATTATTTTATTTTTGTACTACAAGTATATTAAAAACGTATTTTATCTACTACAAATAAACAAATTTTTGGTAGATCAAAATCAATTGATATCCCACCAAAAATTTTGGTCAATCAAAAATCAAAATGAAAATCAAATAATTTGGGTAAATCAAAATCAAATAATTTGTAAAGCATTTAACAATAGATGTTCAAATAATTCGTGGGTATTAATTGAATTTTGTATTTTTTTAACAAAAAAAATTTATAAATATATAATAGGAATAGAAATTTACTTAAAAAAGTAACTAAAATCTCACCAAAAAATATCATTCATACTATTATTCATACATTTTTTTTCGATTTTTTTAATGGGCGACGAGCTTTCAATTTGAAATTCAAATTATGAAAACATATGATAAATACTGAAAAAATTTAATTTTATGTTCATGGCTTGATATATATTCAAATTCAAACGCAAATTAGCTATAAAATCAATCATAAGATATTCATGGATAATTATTTCACAATTTTTTAGATTGTTTGGAGTTAAATATTGCAGCAAAAATCTCGAGATTTGTTAAATGATACATACAAAATAAAAATATTATTTTTCAATTAATCCAAAAAGCCTTACCAAATTAAATTGTAACAAACTCTATTAATTTTGGTAAAAACTATGTCATATTGATATGACATATAATCTTCAAAATAAAAGATTAATTGTTGACTTACTAATATAAGCATTATCAATGGGCTCCACATGTCAACCAATTTAATCGGATTTTGGTAACAAATTTGATCGAATTTTGATAATAAATCTCGAATTTTAGTAACAAATTTGATCTTATTTTGATAACAAATCTCGTGTTATGTTAACAAATTTGATCTGATTATGAGAACAAATCTCAGATTGTGATAACAAATCTCGAATTTTGATAACGAAATTTTTAATGTATCCTCTTTTTTTATAACACACGTCATAGTTATATACACACAATATATTGTCGATAATCATTGGGATTTCTTTTGGTAACAAATTTCACAATTTTTTTGGATTGCTCGGAGTTAAATATTGCAGAACAAATCTCGATATTTGATGAATGATGCATATCAAAATAAAAATATTTTTTTGTTCAATCAATCCAAAACGCCTTACCAGATTAAATTGTAACAAACTCCATTAATTTTGGTAAACATTATGTCACATTGATATGACACATAATCTTCAAAACAAAAAATTAATTATTGACTTACTATTATAAGCAATATCAATGAGCTCCACATGTCAACCAATATAATTGAATTATTGTAATAAATTTGATCTTATTTTGATAACAAATCTTAGATTTTGTTAACAAATTTGATCTGATTGTGATAACAAATCTCGGATTGTGATAGCAAATCTCAGATTTTGATAACAACCCCTTTAAAACAACAGTTTTCTTTGTAACACACTTTATTTTTATTTACACACAATATATTGCCGATAATCTTTGGGATTTCTTTTGGTAACATATTTCACAATTTTTTCGGATTGTTTAGAGTTAAATATTGCAGAAAAAATCTCGAGATTTTTTTATTTACACACAATTTGATTTGATTGTGATAACAAATCCGGATTTTGATAACAAATCCTTTAATATATATATATATATATATATATATATATATATATATATATTTTGTAACACACTTTATAGATATTTATACACTTTTGGATTTCTTTTGATAACAAATTTCACAATTTGTTCAGATTGTTTTGAGTTAAATATTGCAGAAAAAATCTAAAGGTTTGATAAATGATGCATATCAAACTCCATTAATTTTTGTAAACATTATGTCACATTGATAAGCATGATCTTATTTCTTAAGCTACTCCTTTCTTTTTTAACTTGACATTTTGTAACTATATCTCCTTTATGGGTCTATGTAATGAGACATGATTGGTTGTGACAAAGTTCTCCACTCATGTTCTCGGGCGTAAGATATTCACTGGCTATCGCGCAGGTGATAAAGTGTTGATTCTAAGAGTGGCTATAACTCCTTATAATGGTAGAATTCATTTTAAGTTCCAACGTTGATAGTTTTCCATTATGGTTTCTTATGTCATGACTATAAATAAGAGCATGGACAATCATTTGTATGTGGGCTTATTTCTTAAGAAAACAGTGATTTGTCATAGCCAGTTGTATGTTGTTGTCTCCCGTATCACAAACAGAAATGGTTTGAAAATCCTAATTTGTGGCGACGATGACGTGCCAAAGAATCAAACCATGAACGTTTTATATAAGGCAATGTTCAATAATATATAGATTTTATTTCATTATACTTATTAATTTGTTAATTATTAATGACATGATCTTTCTTTTAGTAAGTACTTTGAATTTTAACTGAAAGTTGCTTTTTAAAAGGGACGGAGATAATAACCCCGTGCATCGCACGGGTATTGTACTAGTTTAAAAAATACACTTGTCCAATAAAATATGGACAAGTGTCCATATTTGGCCTCCCAAGTCCCAACCGGTTGTGAGTTGTGACATAGTCACACTTTTTTTGTGATTTATTTATTATTATTATTATTATTATTATTATTATTATTATTATTATTATTATTATTATTATTATTATTATTATTTTGTCATCTAGCTGGTGACCCAATGTATTGGTCACCAACAAAGAGTCTTATTGTGAGTTTTTCTTCATTTTGACACTCTCCTTAAACAGACCCGCTGCTGTATTGCTCTTCAGTTCTGTAAGGTTTAAGGTTGTCTTAACTCTTAAACCCTAGCTTCTGTAAGTGCCATATTTTTCAATTTTATTTCCAGTTATTTTCCACAATATTTAAATTGTATCCAATGTATTAATTTATGTGAATGACATTGTGCACAATATTAACCCCCTTTTTTAGTGGTTGAATGATTTTGTCCAAATGGGCTTTTCATAATTTGCATTGTAAGCATGAGTGAATTTAGTGATTTATCATGTATTCATGGTGATAATGAATTGTTCCTCTGTTTATTATTTTTACTGTCTGGTGTGTAATTTTTAGTATAAGAATGTTCATGTCAGTTTAATCATTCACTTTGGCAACTCTGTTCTTGTGTTAAAATCGAACATCTTAGCAGAGTGTTTGATTCGGATTAATTGTTTTTGGAGCATATTGGGATAGTGTTATCTGATCTTGGTTTGCTGTTGTGGCTTTGCTTTAGTATGATCTTTCGTTTCCTGTTTCGTATCTTTTGCATAAATTCTTTAAACAAATGATGTTGTTAGGCCGTCTAATCGTTAACCAATCATGTTTATTTGCAAAAATGGCATTTGGGTATGAATGTATGTAGATTTGTTAAAAGAGTATGTGGTTGTCTAACCATTAGGCGGCGGCCTAATAGAAGAACTACCTTAGACAAAATTACCTTGGCACTGGGTTTCACTAATTTATTCTCTATATTTTGCATTGTTCTCTGTTATATGCACTTGTCCAGATAATTTCTTTTTCAAAGTTTCACTTCTTTATGTTATTCTCGGTGTTGGTTGTTTTCTGTTTATTATAAAATTAAGCTGGTGAAGTCTTGCCGTGTTATTTTCTTAGGTCACCAGACGTAATTTGTTGCATATCATATGCCTTTGTGCTGTTGTGAACCAGATCATCTGACAAAGGAACTAGCTTGATTTTAACCTGAAGTTCAGTTTGTTCAACTTCTTGGAACTTTTTGGTCGACATGAGTAATATGGTAAGTTTGAATCTTTCTCGACGATTAGTTATTTCTCCTTTGATATACCTGTTGTTCGTGTAACAGATACACGGTGACCTTGTTTGATTGTTTTTTTCCATGTGGTTGACATTGTACTGATGTTCATGATTCTTTTTGACAGCGGATTTAATTTGGCTACACATTGTGCGCTACATCGTGTTCACATGTCATTAATCATCACAGTCAGGCGCGCGAGCAGAGGACAGGCCACGATCATATGCTCGAAGGCCAGCTAATCCATGGTGTTGTGCTGCAAGTCGAGGCTCTTTAAACTTGTGAAGCCATTGAAATTTGGAGGGGGTTTTCAAAAGGCAGTTAAAGAGCTTCAAATGGATCAGCTTGTGACACGAGTATATAGAAGAAGGAAGCTCGTATCGGGGCCTTCCCATATTTCTAGAATTAGTTCCTCCACGGAACCTCTCGACAGGAATAGAATCCACCGGTCGATATCAATAAAACCTTCAAGACCACTGATAGAAAGTTTGAATTTCTCGATGGAGCCCATGTGGAGTAGAAGGACATGGTCAATGACGTTGACTAGTTTGTTTTTCATGAGGTTTAAGTCTTCTGTGGAGATTAGGGCAAGTTGATTATCGAAAACGAGGGAAGGAAGAGTGATTCATTTGTATCTCCACTTCTTTGACAGCACGCTCACTAGGACATGTCATCCTATCTATTCATTTATACTATAAGTATCCGTTTTGCTTCATTTAATAATTGGAAAAAAAATCATTCGTCACACTGTCGGGCTCGTTTGAACTTTTGAATCCGACAGTGTGACGAATGATTTTTTTCCAATTATTAAATGAAGCAAAACGGATACTTATAATATAAGTGAATAGATAGAATGACATGTACTAGTGAGCGTGCTGTCAAAGAAGTGGAGATACAAATAGGTCACGCTTCCTTCCCTCGTTTTCGATAATCAACTTGCCCTAATCTCCACAGAAGACTTAAACTTTATGAAAAAAAAACTAGTCAACGTCATTGACCATCCTTTTACTCCACACGGGCCTTATCGAGAAATTCAAGCTTTCTATCAGTGATCTTGAAGGTTTTATTGATGTCGACCGGTGGATTCTATTCCTGTCGAGAGGTTCCGTGGAGGAACTAATTCTAGAAATATGGGAAGACCCCCGATACAAGCTTCCTTCTTCTATATACTCGTGTCACAAGCTGATCCATTTGGAGCTCTTTAACTGCCTTTTGAAATCTCCTCCAAATTTCAATGGCTTCACAAGTTTAAAGAGCCTCGACTTGCAGCACATCACTATGGATCAGCTGGCCTTCGAGCATATGATCGTGGCCTGTCCTCTGCTCGAGCGCCTGACTGTGATGAACTTTGACGGTTTTACCCTTCTGAATATCCGTGCGCCTAATCTCCTTTTCATTGATGTCGAGAGCGTTTTTGAGGAAGTCAGTTTTCGGGACACCTTCCACCTGGCTGATGTCTCTATCGGATTGTATATAGAAAACGACACCGAACGAAATGTGGGTTTCGGCAGCACGGGGAATTTGATCAAGTTTTTTGAATGTCTACCCCACATACAAAGGCTTGAGGTGAAAAACTTCTTTTTGAAGGTAATCAGGTAATAGAAAAGCTTTGATTAAATACTAGCATGTGTAACAGTATACTTGTTATTCATAGCATGATACTAAGTACATACCTGTAATGCGGCTAAAAATGCAATTTTGTCCTATTAGATTATGAAGGTAACAATTTAGGTCCCATTTGAGCGACATATAGCAATTTAAGCCTTGTAATTTAATATTTTGTTGCAATTGTAATTCATTATTGCAACAAAAATTTAAATCACAGGACTTCAAATTCTGAATTACATATTTGGGATGGATTTTTTATTAGCAACTTATGTCCTCAAAGGACTCCAATTGCAACAAAACTATTAAATTACATGACTTGAATAGCTATATGTTATTCGAGTGAGACGTAAATTGCTACCTTCATAATCTAATAGAACCAAAATTGCATTTTAGCCTGTGTAATGCAGACCAAAACCAATCTCGTTTTTTTTTTCATTTTTTTTTCGTATTTCCCCCTTTATATACCTCGTGTTCGATTTTTCCCAGTATTTGGCTGCTGGAACTGTACCTGAAAAGCTACCCAGACCTTGTGTTGATCTTAGTTTTCTTTCAATTCTTATTAATTTCAATGACTTGGGCGAAAATCTAGTTGCTTTTTGCCTTGTTCGAAGTTCTACCAACCTTCAGGAACTCGAGATGTTGATACGTCAAAAGCTAAATTTCCAATAGTTCGAACTGTTTAAACTTATTGTCGAGCATCATGATTTGTTTTTGTTATTCATCCCCTGGAAAATAAATTAAAGAAAAAAAAAAAACTCTGGTGACTGAAAACAATATCTTGACAGGCACGCGAGGAAGAGGAAGAACAATCAACTGTTACACCAAATCCCAACACTACTGTAGATAATCTCCGTACCCTTCCTTTTACTCGGCTTCGGCTGATTAAGATTGTCGGGTTATCTGGCATAAGACAAGTGCTGGATTTCGTCAGTTTCTTGCTTGCAAATGCACCCGTGCTCGAGAAAATGACCGTTAAGCCAGAGTCGATGGATTGTGAGCGGGAGCTGCTCAAGGAGTTGCTTCGCTTTCGACGTGCTTCCACATTTGCCGAAATCGTTTTCCTGGAACCTTAGGATGGCATTCAAAAATCATTTGAAGTTTAATGTAGTTAGTTCCTAATTGTTAGGGAAAGTAATGTGGAGAGGTAATGGCTAAATTTGACGTTATTTATGTAAAATGTAATGAAATGAGACGAAATTCGTAACTTCACAATCGTCTTGTAATGGATGATAAACTGGCACTCAAGATTTGGAAACTTAGATTGAGTGTGTTAAATATTGTATCAACAATCATACTAGACATGGCACGGGTATCAATCGGTTTTAATGTTTTTTTTATATTGGTCTTAATATATTTGATTTACATTTATTATTGTAATATAAATAATGTATAACATAACTTTAATAAATGCAAAATTGATTAAAATTTAATAACAACGTCAATTAGTAAACACCCGTGCATTACACGGGTACTTGTTAAAAAAATATTCTTAAATTTTAAAATTATTCTTAATTTTTTTTACAAAAAAATATATATAATTATATATTTTAGAATAACACTTATTACTTGTGCGACTTACATATGTTATATTATAGTAATTTTTATAACTTATATCATATAATTACTTGAAATATAAATATATTTAATTGATAAGTAATTTTATATTTCTAACTAATATTAAAAATAATTTTATTATTGTTATAAAAATAAATATAATTTATTTTTTTATACATACAATATGGATGTTAAATCAAAAATTATCAGGAGATGATTAATTTGATATATTATATGTGTAAAACTGCTAAGAAAATAAAAAAATTATTAACTTTTAAAATTCATTTATTATTCAACGGTTCTAATAAGAAATTATATTAAAATTGTAACATGACACTAAATAATCAACATATTTATGGATAATTCGTACCTAATTATTTTCGGTTTGGAAGTAAATTAAAATTTACCCAAGCCTAATAACGAAGCATGTAATTTTGCCAAATATAATCTCGAAGCATGCGAGCTTGTCACTTAGGCTCAACACATTATGAATTAATATATAGTGGGATATATTAAAAATCTTAAATAAATGCTAATATTGATTAAAATTTAATAACAATGTAAGCATATGCATATTTTCAATTTATGTTAACAAAAATAAAATTGATAATATATATATATATATATATATATATATATATATATATATATAACTCAACTTTTCTTGCAAGAATCCAATATATACAGTATTTTGATCGGTATTTTTGAAAAAAAAAAGTATTTAAAGGGTTATGGGTTGGACCAACAGTACTGGATATAACGTTTACACTTAATACACAGTGGTACATTACAATATTTAAATGAAGGGTGTACATAATACTCACATTATGTGGGACCCACAAAAAATAAAAAATCAAGTGAACCCCACACTATGTGACAGTTATGTACACCTCTATGTACATTTATTATGTACATGTAGCATTTTCCTATTTAAATACTGATTGAGAAACGTTTGGCTGTATTCTAAAAAAGAGTACAATACCAATGGGGAATTTGTTAGAAATAGTAGGTCTTATGTTAGGTCGACATACTATTTTCATAAATACTCGTATTTTTATTAAGAAACGTCATATTTTAAAAAATTTATTAGATAGAAGCATGCTATCTGATATAATAAGCCATATTATTAATGTAGATACAATTTTAAAAATGATGGAAAATGTCTATGTTAAAAAATAATAAAAAAAAGGCCTGTTAGTGGGGTTCGTATTTATGTTTTGGTGCCTACTGTAAAACTCATATAACAAGCACCAAGTCCTAGGACAATATAAAAACAAGCAAAAATTAACCGAAATCGAAACGCCATTTTTCTATTTTAAAATAGTTGAATTGGATTGTACGGTTCGGTTTTGGTCTTAGTTATCACATATATTTAATTTTAGGGAAATGCTACCATCCCGTCGGGTGTTTTAACCGTTGGATCATCGATCTTATCTAACTACACGTAAATCTAACGGTTAAAACAACCGACGGGATGGTATCGTAACGGGACCGTAGTATCTCCCTTAATTTTAATTTAGTGTAGTTACGTGCAAAATAACATCTAATACAAGTGTGACACTTCGACCGACTGTGAACCGCTTCCTTCTCGATTTCTTTGCCTGTAGAATATCGGAACCTGTACGAAATTTTCACACTGGAGAGATTTTCCTGTGAAGAGCCTCCAACGCTCAAGTCAGTTTTGAGAAGAGTATATGTGATAGTGAAAATATGAGAGATTGTAGTCTAAGATCATAAGGCTCGCCCCTATATATAGGGGCGAGATACCTGTTCTAGAGACTGCCCAAAATTGGTGAGCTGGCTTCTCGACTTGCCCAATAGTACACTCCACTACCTCAGCGTCAATAATGTGTCAGAAATCGTTATTGATAAAGGCCAATCCGCGTGCACCGTGTGTCCCCAACACATGTGTCAGAGATTCTCTTGGAAGCTCCATTGATCGACCAGATCTGGGTAGGTTGTTAAGCCACTTATTGTGTCGTATGTGATCAATCTTGCGATCACTCACGTTCGACCGCCTAGTACTTCGACCAAGCCTTCTGTAAAGTTGGGATCTGTCGGGTCTTCCGAGATTCTTGTGGCCGTGGCCCATGTCCGTTACTAATTAGCGTAGACTCCGTTCGACCAGACCAATTTATCCGATTTATTCAACCAATTGGTTGGACCGGTCTTGGGTATAATATCTCGTATCAGCATCGGACTAGGAAAAATTCGAAACAAACTTGTGGTTTATGAAATATGTAAATTGAGCTAGACGCAGAAAAAATCTGAACCGAAACTTTTCCATACTAAAAAACCAAACCGAAACTGCATGAAATTATACCACTTAGGTTGGTTTTTAAATTTTAACTCGGTGCTCAACCAACTATTAAATTTATAACTAAATAAGAGCTAATGATATTCACATGAAATATTAACAAAAAAATCATTTGGTTTTCCCCTAAATCAAAAAATCCTGGCAAGTGACATTTTGAACTTTTTCGGAAACTTAAAGGAAAGTCCCACAATTCATTGATATAGAAATGCTCCCCTACCCACGGTGGGCACATGTTAATATGCTCACCGCGTAGGTGGCATGCATTCATTGTTGATGTATTTTTTTAAACATATTAATATCACCAATGAATGCATGCCACCTACTCGGTGGGCATATTAACTTGTGCCCACCGTAGGTAGGTGAACATTTCTCTTCATTGATATATCGGATTCAATCACTACAGATTTAATGCTGATTTTGTTTTACATATTTTCTAAAATAACAACTCTCTTGTAAAATTTGGAAAGATAAACAATTTTCCAATGACTCTTTCAATGATTTTATAATGGAAATAAAATTCGAAATATCAATTTTATTTTTATTTTTGACTTTGTTTAATATTTTTTATACTACAAAATCGTTTATATATCGGGTTGCAAAGTGTACAGATTTAAGGATGACTTCGTTTGACCATATTTTTTTAGAACAATTCCGTATTAAATTTTGGAAAGATTACTTATTTTTACGACTATTTTGATTATTTTATTATCGTGATAAAATTCAAAAAAATCAATTTTGTTGGACTTCGTCTAATATATTTGGTAAAATCGTACAAATATTAGATTTGTTTGAAGAATTTGAATTAATATAGTTAGTTTATTTTGTTGTTGGTACATAAAACAATGATATCCCCATCAAATTGTTACATAAAAAAAGTGAAATTGATAATTTTTTTATATAACAATTTGATCGGATATTGCTATTTTAGAATAAAGTGGGCAATTTTTTTTATTTTTTTAGTATGAAAATGTCCGAATTTCAACAGGATGAATTTTGCTTGGTAAAGATAGAAGTGTATTTAAAATTTTTGAATTCAAAATAAGTGGTATGAATTTTATTTGGTATGAGTATGAAAGTCGAATTTTAAGTTGATTTGTTATAGGCCTAATTGCCGGTAAAACCACGACCTTACAACTTTTTGCCGTTTTAACCAAACTTTTGGAATTTGGCAAACACAACACCACCTTGTCAATTTTTGGCAATTCGAAGCACATGGCCTAATTTCGGGCCATACATGCTGGTATGGCTGCTGACGTGGCAATTTATGCTGATGTGGCACTTTTATGCTGAAATGATTGTGAATCCGTGGTTGCTGACGTGGCAATTTATGTTGACGTGGCGCTTCTATGCTGATTTGGATGGTGAGTGGAAATAAAAATTTTTAGCGACGTAAGGGTTCGAACTTGGGACCTCCAAGTTATAAATGAGCATTATAACCACTACACCACTCCAAGTTGTGTGTCAAATTTAGTATAGCTTAATATATATAGACACTAGGTATGAATAAATAAAATTAAATTTAAAAGTATATATAAATTTTCAATTATAATAATAAGATATAAACTTATAATAAGTAAAATATTATAACATAAAATATATAATATTAAATAAAAAATAAACTAAAACAAAAGAATAAAAATTGTCATAATAGAGTGCATTTAAATTAAATTAAATTAAATTTAAATAAATTTAAACAAAATAAAAATAATATGATATAAGATTATAAAGTATAAAAAGTAAAAGTGAAATAAATAAAATAAAATAATAAATCAATTAATATAATAAATAGAAATAAATAGAAATCTTAATGAATATAATAAAATAAAGAAATATTATTTGAGATTATTATAATTAATATTTTATTAAATTATTATATTATAATACAATATAAATAATTTATTAACTTACTATATTCAAATAATAATAATTTCATATTTTTATTTAGTTTAGCTTATTATTTAATATAATTTATTATATTATTTCCTTATTTTACTTTGCCATTTTTACTATATTATCTTATCTTTTATTATTTTTATTTTATTTAACTGGTGTACTTTAATATATTTTATTTATTAATTTAATTTTATCATTATTATTTTTCATTTCCAAATTTATATAATCAATTTATTTTAATGAATAAGAAATATATAAATTTATTTAAATTTTTTATTTAAATTCACTCTACTATAATAAATTTTATCTTACTTTATTTTAGTTTATTTTTTAATTCAATATTATATAATTTATTTTATTATATTTTAATTTTATTAATTTATATCTTATATTATAATTTAAAATTTATATTTACTTTTAAATTTAATTTGATTTATTCATACCTAGTGTCTATATATATTAAGCGGAATTAAATTTCACACACAACTTAGAGTGGTGTAGTGGTTATAATGCTAACATACAACTTGGAGGTCCCAAGTTCAAATCCTTGCGTTGCTTAAAATTTTTTTATTTCCACCCAACAACCATTTCAGCATAGAAGCGCCACGTCAGCAGCCACGCTAGCAGAAATTGCCACGCCAGTATAAATTGCCACGTCAACAACCACACTAGCAGAGAAGGCCCGAAATTAGGCCCGGTGCTTCGAATTGCAAAAAATTGACAAGGTGGTGTTATATTTGCAAAATTCCAAAAGTTTGGTTAAAACGGCAAAAAGTTGTAAGGTCGTGATTTTACTGGCAATTAGGCCTTTGTTATAAAATCAAGACGATATGATTTATCTCATAAGCAGTACCAAAATAAAATAATTCTTTTTTCAATTATTAAAGTTTGTTAACATTCAATAGTTGATGTTTTTTCTCAACTCAATTCGAGAAATAACTTATGATAGTTTTATGGACATTATATATAATAATATAATACATATAGATTTTATTTGCAATCTATATATATATTAAAAGCCAACCTATTTACTAAAAATAGTAGCAAGAAAAGTCAACACACATTTAATACATACCTTATTTAGAATTTTTTTACTACATGCATTAAATGCTTGCATATATACAATTACTATCCAAATATGATCTTAAAGATTTTTTCCTTAAATAACTTTATTAATTTATGCAATAATTTTACTGATATCCATTATAATTAATATTTGTCGAGTAATATTTTTTAACCTTTATTTAATTATATAAAACTAATATTTTCTTAAAAAATTAACATTATTCATCATTTAAAAGATAATGATCACATCATTAACTAGATAATAAAATTATATTAGTTATTCTTTAAAATTTCGACATGTTATTTATTTGTATATTATTATCTACTATGATAGTGTTTTTATCACTTTTTTTGTTATGTTTCAAAAATGAACTTATTCTAAAATACTTTTCTATTGCATAGTATGTTAAATAAACTATAAAGCCTTACGATGAAAATTAGAAAAAATCTCTTGGTTATGTAAGGGATTTATTTTTTGGCAATTGGTAAATCATTTTTTTTTTTTAAAAAAAAAAATATTATGAGAAAATTGAATTCTAAAAAACATGTGTGTGTATTTTGTAAACATTTATACTCAAAATTTTATTTTGAATTTCATTACATAAAGAAGACTACTTCTATAACTTTTATAAATAATAATAATGACATTATATGACTATAAATTTTATAATAAAATAATAATTGAGTATTATATGGTGAACAAGAATAAATAATATTTTTATTTTTTCTTATATCAATGAATAAATATGTATTTTAAAATCAAATAAATATTAGTATGACGTGTTAGCGGAATTATATATTAATTAACATGTTTATTTTTTTGGCTTAAATAAACGCCACTTATTAAAAGATGTGAAATATGGATATTCCAAGCCTATTGTTTTTCTTTTTTTTTTTTTTTGTCTAGACGTACAAGTCCTATAGAAATAATTGATTTATTATATGTATCACGTACATCGCACGGCTTCGAAAAGTTCGTTGGGGAAGAAGAGCCATCATATTTACTAAAATTAGTAGCAAAAAAATAGGTCAGCATTTAATGCAACACATAAATAGTAGTTTTATTATTTTTCTTTTTTTTTCTAATTTAAAAATCATACAATTTAATTTATAAATACGTTTTAATATAATCATACAATTTAATTTATAAAAATCATACAATTTTTTTTCTTTAAAAATACGCTTTAAAATATATATATATAGTACTTTTTGTAATAAATTTAAATAAAATGTGTTACTTAAATATCTAAACAATTTAAAAATTCAAATGTTTAAATTAATTGATAAACAATTTATAAATCTCTATTTTATTTAAATATGTAATTTTATTTAAAATAATTTTAAATATAGCCAAATTTATTTAGAAAATCGTATCGATCCTACCAGTTCAATCGACTGGTGTTGACGGATTCAATAGAAAATATTTTATTTAATTGAACTATACTGATTATAAACTGGTTCTCGGTCCATCCGGTCGGAGTGTGTCCAACACGGTTTAATTTAAAGCCGATGGGTAAATCTTTATTTGTATATTTAATTTATAACACAATCGTAATATTATTTTCCCGTGCATCGCACGGGCCATGCACTAGTTCAATTTTAAGTACAATCATTTACAAAGATGACAAAAATACGTATGATAATATATATATATATATATATATATATATATATATATGGATTTTATGAATAGGAATCAATTCTTGTTCGGTTCCTTGGTTCGGTACGATTATTTTCAGTTTGGTCTAGTTTGGTTCTCGATACAGATATATTATGAATATCTAGAATTGTACCAAAAGAAAGATTTCGGTATGGTTCGGTTAAGAGATAGTCAACAAATATTTTTCGGTTCGGAATTAATTTGGTTGGATTGAACGGTTGGGTAACTCAGCACTAGTTGCTGCGCCATTTTAAAGGAGTTCAAAAAATTGGAGTGGTCAGTGGATGCTCCAAAAACCTCTTCGTCTTCTCTTACCGTATTTATCACGTCAAGCGAGGAATTCCCATATTTCAACTATTTCCTACTGTAAATTTCATCTTCTTCTTCCGCTCTTTCCCCGTTAAATCTTCGTTTCTGCAAACCATTTTTTTTTTTTTTTTTTTCTAATTTTCTCTTTTTGTATTTTCAAGAAGCGATGGACTATGAGCTGGACCTGGGAGAATCGACATTTTTATCAATGTTCAGGTTCCGCCCGACGCCGTTTGAAGCGCTGCAGTATTATTTGGTCCCTAAGCTGAGAGGTGAAGCATTGCCTTCGGACTACATTAAAGATCTCGATGTGTACAAGTACGATCCCGAACAAATTCCGCTCGGTACGTGGTTTGTTTGTTTCTTGATTTTCGTTTTTTTTTTCCGGTGTTTTGGGGATTCTTATTGATGCACGATGAGGATTCTGGTCATTGATTTGTACAGAGCCATTTATTTTGCCTGATCTTTTGAATGTATTCATGTATCTGGGCTTTCTATTTGAGATTCTGTATCTGCATATGTTGGTTTGTTTTGGGTGCTGATGTATTTTTTGAGGCTATGGCTGTTGGCTGGTGCACCTGATGTGCGGATTGTATTTCGGTTTTCGGATGCTTATTATCTGTAAAGCAAGTCGAGGTTTAAGGATGGAAGGGTTTAAGAACAGCAGACCCTGCGGGAAACTTTTTGCCAAAACAAATGAAAGAAAGAAACATATAAATCAACTGTTTGTATGCTGAGTTTGATTTATCTTGTGTAACTGAGGTAACATGAGTTTTGCTGGTTAGTATTTGTGTTTTCTCTTTGTGTATGCCACGGCATCTGAAAGATGTCGGGATGCCTAGAATCTGTCCTGTTCCTTGGTCTTTTGCTGCCAAATTATTTTGTGTAGGTTTTGTTTCGCAAGACAGGTGAATGATGGAAGAAGCCAACTGTAAGATTCCTGTTGTATAGTGGCACTATAAGAGTGTCGGCTTTCTTTTTCCAAAAGTAACGAGCATTTAAAATTGTAGTTAATACTTTGCCGCATGTTTTTGTCGATTGAGAAAGTGGTAGGTTGTATTAAGCATAGTTGGAAGCTCGCAAGATGCTTGTTGTTATTGTTGTTCTTGTGTTATTAAATGTAGTTATGACACTCATAATTGTAGTTGCTTGCTGTAGTTGTCCTAGTAGGTGACATTTTTCGTGTGTTTTCTTTTTCTGTTTGAATTAATGAGTGTATTCGTAAAATCTATATATATATCATCTTGTGCGAAAGTAGATGAGTACAAGGACAAAGGAGATGATGACAGGGCATACTTTTTCGTACCCCTCACTGAAGAAATCTTACGAGGGAAGGACAATGCGACAAGAACAACTCCAAATGGATACTGGAAAATTTCCGAAGGGAATGTTCCACTCTATGGACCGGACGGAAAAATTATCGGGCTCATGAACAAGCTAGAGTTTTACTGTGGAAAGGATCCCAATGGAGTTATTACGGATTGGAAGATGACCGAGTATATGAACCATCTCTGTGTTTGCGGCCGCAATGTTAGTATCTTCACTTCATGACTCTGTTTTTGCAATGCTTCACGTTTTTTAGGATTATAAGGATTTAGCAAATCTCTATGTGTATCTTCACTTGTCTGATGATATTTTTTTATGGCGTGCGTGCCTGTCTTGTTTGTTAAGGTTTTGAGAGTTAATCAAACTAACTGCCACCACAATTGGTATACATTTGTTACATTTGCGGTTAGTTGCAGTAGTTGTTGTTCTTAGTATGTGAAAACAGAAAAACGTTGCAAGTATTTTGAGTCTTTATTGGCATCCTAAAGTAACGTGTCGTCTAGTAACTTTTCGTCTGTTGCTGTGAATCTGTTTTGTTGCAGTGAATGGTTAAAAAAGAAAAAAGAAGCAGATGATGTATTTGGCTAATTCCTTTGCAATAATATTCTTTTTTTTTTTTTGTTCTCTTTTTACAGGCGGCACCTTTAATGATTTGCAAAATGAGGCTCAAGGCTCGCTGGGTGGTTGTGGACGACGAAATGTCCGAGGAAGAAACGTCATCTGAAGAAGAAGAAGGCAACAACAATTCAAAGTAAAAAGTGTGATGGAAAAAAATAGCTTGAGGCTAATAGTTTGATACTGTTTTTGGCTTGTCTTACCCAGAAAATCTATGTTGGCAACCAAAATTAACAAACCATGGTGTTAATATTTTCTTGAAGTAGTAGAATATGTTCTGATCTCAGAAGGATTCTCAGTAATGCATCATGCATGCATTCATCAACCCAATTTTAGACTAATAAAATAACATATAATATCATTTTATAAGGTACTTAGGGCGTGATTGGATATGAATCCATCCGGTTATGATTCAATTTGATTGGCTAAAGTAAGTTATGTTGAATAAAGTTGATTGAGTTGATTATTTTGAGTTTGTAATTAAATAATATTTAAAATTTAATAATTGAAGTTGATGTGATGAAAAAATATGATAGATTATTGAAAGTGATTAGAAACAAAATAACTTCATGAATCCATATCCAATCAGGCCCTTAGCAATGTGCCCACCCACTATAGTTACACACTTACATATACAAAAAATATATATACATATAAACTAAGAATATTCAATATTGTCATAAATTCCTCATTTTCTCCTGAAAGCCAACATTAATTCAACTGCATAAATACCAATAAGGTACCAGGTAAAACCCGCCAAAACAACCTGCATCCACGAGCTATTAACAATGGCTACTGCTAATGAGCCGCCAATGTGGTCCTTCAGACCACTCGCCGGCTCCACAAGCTCTAACCGAACATACCCAGCAGCCACGACAGCCATTCCTAGTGGCAAAACCGAGCGTAAAGGGTTGCCTGAACTTTCCTCAGGGCCCAAGGGCTTGAAATTATGAATTGATGGGCTTATTTTTCTAGTTTGGGCCGGCCCGAATACAGGTTTGGAGCTGAAATCTGGTGCGGCTGCATCTGGAAGTGCAAGTACCGTGGGCTCCCAGTACTCGTCTGCCATTTGTTTGTGCAGTGTGGTGGTTGCTTGTTTTCTAGCTGCTGCTGCAGCTTTCAGCTTCTTCACAGAGGGCCCGACATGTTTTCTTGGGCTCGATTGGGAATTCTGGACAGCTGGAGGTGTGCTGGCATCTGCAATGGGAGATTGCCAGTACAACCAGTTTGATATCATCTGAATGGCTTGAATGGCCGATGCCCTCGATGCTCGTTCAGTCTCCCGACTCTTTTGAAGGAAAAAAAAAAAAAAGAGTTTTTTCGGATTAGACAATGTGTTTACGAACTATGATAATCAAATTAATTAAAGAGAATGGAGATGGGTTTACTCACAAAAAACACTATGGGCGTGATTGAACATGAATCCAACTGGTTATGATCCAATTTTGTTGGTTGGTTACAAGTGAGATATTTTGAATAAAGTTGATTGGGTGGATGATTTTTGAGTTTGTAATTAAATAAACGTAAATCATTTAAGTTGATATGCTGTAGAACAAAAGTTAATGAAAGTGATAGGTAGTTAAAATTATGCGAGTAGATGAATAGTGAATTTAAGTTAACGGTGAAGATGATTGATTAATTTAATATTATTTAGGTATATTTATAAAAAGTAAGAAAGTTGGGTTAAGTTGAATTTTAAGTAATGTGATTCGAAATAAAATAACTCGATCAGTCAACGTTATGATCCATATCCAATTACGCCCTAAAAGAGATTAAGACAGAGCATGAAAACCTTGGAATAATCTGTAGTAGTAGTTTTATGCTGAGCATATCTAGCCTGGAATTTCTCGACCTCGTCGAAAATATCCGAGGTCCTTGCACCTACTGTATTCCCGACACCGATCCTGACCTTTCCACGCGGCTGCTTAGACATTATGAATTCAAGGGCAGCCAAGTTGTCTCTTTCCACAATCCTAACATTTCATCAAATGCACTAACTTCTCAAGGACAGAAGTTAAAAAACTAGCATATATATACGAGGCTAAATTACAATTTTTAGTCTTGCTGATTAACGCCATAGCATTTTTAATCTTAAGATTCAAACATTTTGGGTTTTAGTCATGTGATTTAGTATTTTGCTGCAAATTTCAGTCTTTTGAGATTGAAATTGCAACAAATTTCCAAATTTATAATTTTTAATTTTAGCAATGTAAGTCATATAATAATAATTTAAAATTTTGTTGCAATTTCAGTCCTATTATTTAGAATTTTGTTGCAATTTCAGTCATATTAAATCACAGGATCAAAAGGCGAAAAGTTGGAACATTGGGATTAAAATTGTTATGGCGTTAAACCAACATGACTAAAAATGCATTTTTTGCCTATATACAAATTACATTCTTACGAGATGCAATCGACCGGGCAAGTGCCAATAGCCTCTTGAATTTTGTATTCGGGATCGGCCCATTGAGCCACCACTCGTGCTCGGCCATATACCGATTCAATAGCAAAAGTTTTATCGGCAAATAATGCACATTTCAAGCAACCTACACACTTGACCTCATCCACGAAAACGGCCCTCTGCTCGCTCTCGGAACCTAACCACACGGAATATATAGGCCTTCCCGTGTACCCTTGAAAGTCTGCAACTTTTGCTAGTTCCTGAATCATTCAAATGGAACTATCGATGAGGTTAATAAAGTCGATGATTCAAACTAACCATCCGGTTATGAACTCTAGTGAATGCGTTTCTTAAAACAGAAAGAACCACCCGGCAATAGTTCGTAAGGAAATTCAATTATCTGCTCATTTTCCTCTTATTTATTCCAGAAATTCTCACTAAAACAACTTAAAACAAAAATTAATCATTATCATTATCTTCTCAAAAAAAAAAAAAAAAAA